AGACAAGCAAGGAAGGAGAAATGAAACTCTCTGGGCCGGGGGATTCGCCGGCCTTTGTCTCGCCCACTTCCTACACTGACAGCAAAGATAGTAGGCAAGGTCCTGTGGGGCACTGACAAATAGGTCTCAAATACAGGTACATGTTACAACCCGCTTCCTGCTCGAATGCATTACAACCTCCGTATCCACAGGTAAACTTGAGGAAGTCACTCTGCAGTGAACCTTTCTGGACCAGGGGTTTCGCTAGCCTTTCTTTCCGTCATTGCCCAACATCCCAGGCTGATAACCAAAGATGGCGGATGAACCCTGTGCCACTCTTCGATCCTGTGTGGCACTGATAACATCATGATCCCTCTTTCTACGGGCATACATTATGACTGCCATATCCCCAAGTATGCAAAGACCCCTGCATTCATGAACTCTGCATGAAGCCACACGTAACAGCCCATAACCCTTCCGAAATTAAGTGCACCTGCCGTGACACAGGGGTATTTTTCTACCAAAATGACCAGCAGAAATTAACTGAAACCTGGGTGTTTTCCTTGACCTCATTGCAACCAACACCAGTCCCAATCAGACCTCTAGCAGGAGAATATTCCAAAACTGAGGTGCCACAGAAGAAAAGTCCCTGCTCCCACAATGCATCACTCCAGCTTCAGTTCCCAAGCAGGGATGTACAGGGATATAGAGGGGCTCCTTCAAATGTCCAGGTCATCACATTCACACAAAGGCTGCATCTACACCAGGAATAGGCAAACTTCAGCCCTCTAGATTAGTGGTTCTCAACGTTCCTAATGCCGTGACCCCTTAATACCGTTCCTCATGTTGTGGTGACCCCCAACCATAACATTATTTTCATTGCTACTTCTTAATTGTAATTTTGCAACTGTTATGAATTGTATGTGCAGGATGTATTCTCATTCACTGGACCAAATTTGGCACAATACCTGATGCGCCCAAATTTGAATACTGTGGGGTTGGGAGGGAGGATTGATTTTGTCATTTGGGAGTTGTAGTTGCTGGGATTTATAGTTCACCTACAATCAAGAGCATTCTGAACTCCACCAATGGAATTGAACCAAACTTGGCACACAGAACTCCCATGACCAACAGAAAATACTGGAAGGTTTGGTGGGCATTGACCTTGAGTTTGGGAGTTGTAGTTCACCTACATCCAGAGAGCACTGTGGACTCAAACAATGATGGATCTGGATCAAACTTGGCACGAATATTCAATATGCCCAAATGTGAACACTGGTGGAGTTCGGGGAAAATAGACCTTGACATTTGGGAGTTGTAGTTGCTGGGATTTATAGTTCACCTACAACCAAAGAGCATTCTGAAGCCCACCAACGATAGAATTAGGCCAAACTTCCCACACAGAACTCCCATGACCAATAGAAAATACTGTCTGTGATGGTCTTTGGCGACCCCTCTGACATCCCCTTGCAACCCCTCCACGGGTCCCGACCCCCAAGTTGAGAACCACTGCTCTAGATATTTTGGACTTCAACTCCCACAATTCCTAACAGCAGGTAGGAATTGTGCAGGGCTGAAGTTAGCCTATGCCTGGCGCAGATGCACCTCAAAATCAAGGGGGAGAAAGAGCAGCCTTCCCTGGTCCGTGTACCTGGCTACGGCCAAGATCCTCTCCTTCTGAGCCAGGCGATCCTTCTCGGGGTCTCGGCCTCCACCGCCGCCTTCGGGCCTTTCGGGGCTGAAGACCCTGGAATAGAGAACTCTGCAAGGCGGGGCTTCGTCCCCAGAACGGCCGCAGCAGCGCAAGGTGTGGACGATGAAGGCGTGAACCATGGCGACAGAGGGGGCTGCAAGGGAGGGACGGGGGTGAGAACCACAGGTTGTTAAGATCTTCTGGAGGGACAGGGCCTTCTCGGTGGTGGCCCCTCGGCTCTGGAACTCTCTCCCGTTGGAGATTAGATCTGCCCCTTCCCTCCTGACTTTCAGAAAGCTGGTAAAATCTTGGCTTTGGAATATAGCATTTGCAGAATGATGATTGAGTCAATAACGGCTGACCACACTAAAGGCGGATGGTGATGAATTTGTGATTTTACTCTGACGACCTGGCTTTTGTAATGGTATGATCTGCATTTTAATGTATTTTTGTATGTATTATGATGCTTTTATGTTTATTCTATGTGTGTATGAATTTCCTGCTGTTAGCCGGCCTGAGTCCCTCTTCGGAGGTCGAGAAGACCGGGTTATAAAAGCTCTAAATAAATAAATACATAAATAAATAATTGTTGTTGTTGTGCTTGCAAGAAGAATTGCATTGTGATTGTGGATATTGTATTTGTATATTGCTTTTTTAAAGTTATTATCATTTTTATGTCTGTATTTCACTGTTTTTGCTGATGTATTATCATAGAATCCTAGAATCCGAGAGTTGGAAGAGACCTCATGGGCCATCCAGTCCAACCCTTTGCCAAGAAGCAGGAATATTGCATTCAAAGCACCCCTGACAGATGGCCATCCAGCCTCTGCTTAACACCAAAGAAGCAGGAATATTGCATTCAAATCACCCCTGACAGATGGCCATCCAGCCTCTGCTTCAAAGCTTCCAAAGAAGGAGCCTCCACCACACTCCCTCCGGGGCAGAGAGTTCCACTGCTGAACAGCTCTCACAGTCAGGAGAGATTTTAATCTTGCTGTGACTTGTTGTTTGGCCTCACGTAAGCCGCCCCGAGTCCCCATTGGGGAGATAAGAGAGGGTGGCGGGGTACAAATGAAGTTTATTATTATTGTATTGTCAAAGGCTTTCATGGCCGGAATCACTGGGTTGTTGTAGGTTTTTTCAGGCTATATGGCCATATTATTGAGGCATTCTCTCCTGACGTTTCACCTGCATCTATGGCAAGCATCCTCAGAGGTAGTGAGGTCTGTTGGAACTAGGAAAAAGGGTTTATATATCTGTGGAATGACCAGGGTGGGGCAAAGGACTCTTGTCTGCTGGAGCTAGGTGTGAATGTTTCAACTGACCACCTTGATTAGCATTTGATGGCTTGGCAGTGCCTGGGGGAATCTTTTGTTGAGAGCTGTTAAGATGTGCCTGGTTGTTTCCTCTCTCGGTTGTTGTAGTTTTTTTCGGCTATATGGCCATGGTCTAGAGGCATTCTCTCCTGACGTTTCGCCTGCATCTATGGCAAGCATCCTCAGAGGTAGTGAGGTCTGTTGGAACTAGGAAAAAGGGGTTTATATATCTGTGGAATGACCAGGGTGGGACAAAGGACTCTTGTCTGCTGGAGCTAGGGGTGAATGTTTCAACTGACCACCTTGATTAGCATATAATGGCCTGACAGTGCCTGGAGCAAACTTTTGTTGAGAGGTGATTAGATGTCCTTGTTTGTTTCCTCTCTGTTGTTGTACTGTTCTAATTTTAGAGTTTTTTAATACTGGGAATTGCAACAGCACAACAACAGAGAGGAAACAAACAAGGACATCTAATCACTTCTCAACAAAAGATTGCCCCAGGCTCAGCCAGGCCTTCAAATGCTAATGAAGGTGGTCAGTTGAAACATTCACACCTAGCTCCAGCAGACAAGAGTCCTTTGTCCCACCCTGGTCATTCCACAGATATATAAACCCTTTTTCCTAGTTCCAACAGACCTCACTACCTCTGAGGATGCTTGCCAAAGATGCAGGCGAAATGTCAGGAGAGAATGCCTCTAGAACATGGCCATACAGCCCAGAAAAACCTACAACAACCCATTTATTATTATTATTGGCCTCCTTCTCATTCACAACACACAAGCACCTTTTCATGGCAAGGCCGCGAATTACCCTTAATTGAGGAAAAGGAGGCTCACCTTTCTCTCAAAACAACCCGGCTCTTAGTGCTTCCTGGTAAGCCCTGCAAAAGCCGCTCTAGCACGAAAGACTACACTTCCCGGCATGCCCTGCGCGGGCCCTGAAGGGCAGGCAAGCAGGACTCAGCGCGAGTCACGCTGGGTAATGTAGTCTACTGCGAGGGCCCGCGTCGGCTTATCTCAAGGTGCGCATGCGTAGCTTCCCTACCGCCAAGCAGGAGGATTGGGAGCTCTCCTCGCCGATTGGTCGGCGCTGGAACAGTGGGCGTGGCCACGCCTGAGTGAAAGGAGCGCGCCGGGATTGGGCAGTGATCTGTCCAATGAGCACAAAGAGGCGGAGTCAATCCGCAGGCGGGGGCGGGATTAGAGGCTCGAGTCGAGCGTTGATTGGCTGGAGCTTTGTTTTGGTTTCATTTTCCCCGGAAGGGGCCTGAGGCTGTGAGGAATGCTGGGAGTTGGAGTCCAAAGGCCTTGGAAGGAAGGCCCAAGTTGGCCCAGGCCTAATCTAGTTGGTATAGGTAGATCAAGTGAGGAATGCTGGGAGTTGGAGTCCTAAACTCCTGGAGGGAAGGCCCAAGTGAGGCCCAAGCCTGGTCTGAAAAGGAAGGGGCCTGAGGCTGAGAGGAATGCTGGGAGTTGGAGTCCAAAACCCTTGGAAGGAAGGCCCAAGTGGGCCCAGGCCTAATCTAGTTGGTATGGGTAGATCAAGTGAGGAATGCTGGGAGTTGGAGTCCAAAAGCCTTGGAAGGAAGGCCCAAGTGGGCCCAGGCCTAATCTAGTTGGTATAGGTAGATCAAGTGAGGAATGCTGGGAGTTGGAGTCCAAAACACCTGGAGGGAAGGCCCAAGTTAGGCCCAAGCCTGGTCTAAATAAGGAAGGGGCCTGAGGCTGTGAGGAATGCTGGGAGTTGGAGTCCAAATTATGGAAAACATTTGGTATAAAGTCACCTTCAGGCTGTTTGTACGAGGCGGATAGGAAAGGTAAGTGAAGTATTGAGTTAACAAGCTTATGTTTTGACGCCCAGGTTCTCGATCAAGAGCCGCTTAGCATCATAGGTGGGTATTTATTTATTTATACTCTCTTTCCCGCCCCTCTCGCTTGACCTTTTGATGGAAAATACCTCCTTGTACCTGCAGACTCTGCGCTTAACCACAACCTTTGAGCTTAACCACAACACAACTTCCGATCTCTAAGCCTAAAGTCTTTTTGATGTTCCCTCAGTTCTTGTGGGTTTTTTCGGGCTATATGGCCATGTTCTAGAGGCATTTCTCCTGACGTTTCGCCTGCATCTATGGCAAGCTTCCTCAGAGGTTTTGACCTCACCTCTGAGGATGCTTGCCATAGATGCAGGCGAAACGTCAGGAGAAATGCCTCTAGAACATGGCCATATAGCCCGAAAAAACCCACAAGAACTGAGTGATTCCGGCCATGAAAGCCTTAAAAACATTTTCTTCCCTGTTGCTCCTTTTCTACAGAGAAAGGGAATGTTTCTCTTTTGCTGTTAATTTCATTCAAAGCCCCTTGCTCAGCATTTGCAAATTTCACTCAAAGACCCTTTCAATATCACACAAAGACACGGCCGCTGTAAACAGTCCTGGGTCCTTGCACTTCCCACTTTCACTTTAAATATTCCAATTATTATTATTATTATTATTATTATTATTATTATTAACTTTATTTGTACCCCGCTAGCATCTCCCGAAGGACTCGATGCGGCTTACAAAGGCCAAGGCCTCAAAACACAACATAACAATACACAACCTAAAGCAAATTAAAAACAGTTAAAGCAATATTAAACAACAAGCAATAACAATACACCAGGACACAATAAAACTGGGCCGGGCCAGAGTAATGGGTACAGATTAAAAGTGCTGATGTGACAGGTGATATGTAAGGATTGTAGGGTAAGTGCAGTGTGCCAGCCATCTTAATTTCTACTAAAGTGCTTCTGGGACTTGTTGTTGGAGTTTTCCTAATCGGGAAAGGCACATCGGAACAGCCAGGTCTTCAAGTTCTTTCTGAAGACTGCCAACGAAGGGGCCTGTCTAAGATCTTTGGGGAGGGTGTTCCAGAGTCGGGGGGCCACCACAGAAAAGGCCCTGTCTCGTGTCCCCACCAAACGCGCTTGCGATGCAGGCGGGATCACGAGCAGGGCCTCTCCAGATGAACGAAGTGAACGCGTGGGTTCGTAGACGGAGATGCGGTCACGCAGGTAGGCTGGTCCCAAACCGTTCAGGGCTTTGTAGATAAGCACCTGCACCTTAAATTGGGCTCGGAAAATGAAAGGGGCCTGAGGCTGAGAGGAATGCTGGGAGTTGGAGTCCTAAACTCCAACTTTGTAGGTGAGCACCTGCACCTTAAATTGGGCTCGGAAAATAAACGGCAGCCAGTGGAGCTCCTTGAACAGGAGGGTTGACCTCTCTCTGTAAGGAGCCCCAGTTAACATCCTGGCTGCTGCCCGTTGGACCAGTTGGAATTTCCGAGCCGTTTTCAAGGGCAGCCCCACGTAGAGCGCATTACAGTAATCCAATCTAGAGGTGACCCAAGGCATGGACCACCCTGGCCAGATCAGCCTTTGCAAGGTACGGTCGAAGCTGGCGCACGAGTCTCAATTGTGCAAAGGCCCTCCCAGACACCGCCGACGCCTGAGCTTCAAGCGTAAGCAATGAATCCAAAAGGACTCCCAAACTGCGGAGCTGTGGCTTCAGGGGGAGTGTAACCCCATCCAGCACAGGTTGCCACCCTAGACCCTGATCCGGTTTACGATCGACCAGGAGGACCTCTGTCTTGTCGGGATTGATGTTCAGCTTGTTCCTCCTCATCCAGATAGACACAGCGGCCAGGCACTCGTCTAGCACCCGAGGGGGCTCCTTGGAGTTGGCTTTTCTACAGAGAAAGGGAATGTTTCTCTTTTGCTGTTAATTTCATTCAGAGCCCCTTGCTTAGCATTTGCAAATTTCACTCAAAGACCCTTTCAATATCACACAAAGACATGGCCGTTGTTCGTAAACAGTCCTGGGTCATTGCACTTTCAACTTTCACTTTAAATATTCCTATGATGGGCCGAATGCTTGGTTCCACAGCCAGGTCTTTAGCTGTCTCCTAAAGGTCAGGAGGGAGGGGGCTGACCTGATCTCACTCAGGAGGGAGTTCCACAGCCATGGGGCCACCACCCAAAAGGAAGGAAGGCCCTGTCCCTCATCCCCACCAGCCACACCTGTGGGCCCGATGGGGCCGAGAGCAGGACCTCCCTAGAAGATCTTAATCTACGGATAAATAGATAGGAACGATCATAGGATCACAGAGTTGGAATGATAGACCACATCTGGAATATTGTGTCCAGTTCTGGGCACCACAATTCAAGAGAGATATTGACAAGCTGGAATGTGTCCAGAGGAGAGCGACTAAAATGATAAAAGGTCTGGAGAACAAGCCCTATGAGGAGCGGCTTAACGAGCTGGGCATGTTTAGCCTGAAGAAGAGAAGGCTGAGAGGAGATATGATAGCCATGTATAAATATGTGAGAGGAAGCCACAGGGAGGAGGAGGGAGCAAGCTTGTTTTCTGCTTCCTTGGAGACTAGGACGCAGTGGAACAATGGCTTCAAACTACAAGAGAGGAGATTCCACCTGAACATGAGGAAGAACTTCCTGACTGTGAGAGCCGTTCAGCAGTGGAACTCTCTGCCCCGGAGTGTGGTGGAGGCTCCTTCTTTGGAAGCTTTGAAACAGAGGCTGGATGGCCATCTGTCAGGGGTGATTTGAATGCAATATTCCTGCTTCTTGGCAGAATGGGGTTGGACTGGATGGCCCAGGAGGTCTCTTCCCACTCTAGGATTCTAGGATTCCCGACTGTGTGAGAGAGCTGTTCACTAGTGGAACTCTCTCTCTCTGCCCCAGAGGGAGTGTGGTGGAGGCTCCTTCTTTGGAGGCTTTGAAGCCGAGGCCGGGTGTCGGGTAGTGATTTGAATGCAACATTCTTGCTTCTTGGCAGAATGGGGTTGGACTGGATGGCCCATGAGGTCTCTTCCAACTCTAGGATTCTATGAGTCTATGATTTGTATCTTGCCTTTCTCCTCATAGAGACTCAAGTCCAACCCCATTCTGCCAAGAAGCAGGAAAATTACATTCAAAGCACCCCTGACAGATGGCCATCCAGCCTCTGTTTAAAAGCCTCCAAAGAAGGAGCCCACACTCCGGGGCAGAGAGTTCCACTGCTGAACAGCTCTCACAGTCACGAAGTTCTTCCTCGTGTTCAATCCAGTCCAAACCCATTCTGCCCAGAAGCAGGAAATCGCATTCAAAGCACCCCTGATGGCCATCCAGCCTCTGTCAAAGCCTCCAAAGAAGGAGCCTCCACTACACTCCAGGGCAGAGAGAGAGAGTTCCACTGGTGAACAGCTCTCTCTCACAGTCAGGAAGTTCATCCTCGCGTTCAGGTGGAATCTCCTTCCTTTCCTGTCATTTCACGCTATGGTTCCATTGCCTCCTAGTCTCCAGGGCGGCAGAAAGGAAGCCTGTTCCCTCCTCCCTAGGATGTCCCTGGCTTCACATATCTACATATGGCCCTTCTCATGTCGCCTCTCAGTCTCTTCTTCTGCAGGGTAAATGTGCCCAGCTCTTGAAGCCTCTCATCATAGGGATTGTTACCCTTCAATGAGAACTGTCAGGATTCTGCATTCATAGCAAGGCTGCGCCCACACTGCAGAATTAGAACAGATCTTGAATGTTTATTTATTTCTCGTGTCAGAGCAGCCAGTCAATTATATTACATTTCTAACAGAACAAAGCAAACAAACAGAGAAAATACAAAATGTGTAAGTTTGGTAGTTGATTAAAAGTCCTTTGACCAGTATCTGGCCACTTGGAGTGCTTCTGGTGTTGCCGCAAGAAGGTCCTCCATTGTGCATGTGGCAGGGCTCAGGTTGCATTGCAGCAGGTGGTCTGTGGTTTGCTCTTCTCCACACTCGCATGTCGTGGATTCCACTTTGTAGCCCCATTTCTTAAGGTTGGCTCTGCATCTCGTGGAGCCAGAGAAGATGATTTTGAAAGGCAGCAGATCA